TCTCTCTCTCTCTCTCTCTCTCTCTCTCTCTCTCTCTCTCTTTATCTATCTCTCTCTTTCTGCTTTCTGGTAATGTGAGCCTTTTCTCTATGCCACAAACTTCTGCCATTAGATTCATTCTCAACTTGAAGATGCTATCTCTGGATTGAGGCCACTAAAACCAAGTCACCTAAATAAACATTTCCTCCTCTGTAGTTGTTGTCCTTGGGTCTTTTGGTTACAACACCATAAAGCTAACTAAAACAAAGACAGACTGAAATAACAGAAATTCAATTGTCTAACCACCACCCATCAAACCATTCCTTCTACATGTTCCCTGGAAGTGCTCACCTCACATGGGTCATCCAAGCATTCCATCTCTTTTTGTCTCTTCTTCCTCAGTTTTAGAATTTTATTTTACTCAGACTCTTGAAATTTTCCTTTGCTTCTGTTCTCCCAGGCTAAAAGCCTTGGAAACTGCCTGGGGCAAATGTTTTAAGGGAGATGTGCCCTGGGGCAGTCCCTGATTATGAAAGAAGGCTCTCTAATTCGGGGCTTCCCTGAAGTCAAGGACACCTGTTGTCCAACCCTGTGTCTTTCTCTCCAACATCCCAAGTTGCCTGCCACTTCCACCCTCAGTGTCTTCCAGAGGTTCCCAAGTCTGATGAGGCATAGTGGCCTCAGTCTGTAATCAAAGCAATCAGGAGACTTGAGGAAGGGGCATGGCAAATTTGAGGCCAGCCTCAGCAACTTAGGGAGAACCTAAGCAATTTAGTGAGACTCTGCCTCCAAATAAAAGAAAAAAAAATAAAAAGGGATGGGGCTGTGGCTCACTGGAAGAGAGCCAATGGGTTTCATCTCCAGTACAAAGAAACAGAAGAAATATTGCCCTAAGTCTAGAAGACTGATTCTATCTTCCTTTGTGCTCTACCTAACTTATTGTGCTCATATTTGCTGCAAGTTAACTTGATACTTGTGTGACTGTGGGAAACATGGTTTCCATTCTACAATCTTTGTGGATGACACTACTGTCTTCAAAAAGCTGTTTTCTCTCTGGAATTTTCAAACTATTCTTGAAAATCATTTTTTTTTTCAAATAATTTTGACATGGCAAAGATCCCTGTAGAAACATATTTTTAAGTAATATTTTTCTTACATTAGGGATTAAATACTTTTATGTCTCACAGTAGAAATAGGAGGGTCACATATAGACAATATTGAGTCCATGGTGGGGAGTGCATGGGCAAAGTCATCGCTGACTCTCACATCTTCCGATTCTGCACTCTTGCATGACCATCAGATTCAATGAACTAATGCAAGGAAAAAAATCCCAGCATTATTTAGTGGGTGGAGATTTTGGAAGGTGATCACATACTGCTTTCTGACTGGATGCTGGTCAATAAGATGGACATAATGGCATTGTCAGAGAGGTCCATAAAAGCTTCTTCAGAGCCAGAAGAGGAGCACAAGAGTCTTGCAGCCTAAGGAGACACATCCTGACCTGCTGAAGCTCAGAGCACCTGCACACCTGGCCAGATCCTGAAAGTCCCTCACTGTCCTAAGAAACAGCGCCTTCCCTTCTCATCTGTGTGGATTTAGGAACGATTTTGTTTCTGTCTTTTCTCATGAACCAACTTAGGCCTTCGATTTTGCCTCTCAGTTTGGTTTTGCCTTTATGCTGAATATTAGGATTTCCATTTTGGTTTATGTCACTTTCAAATTTCTTTTTTGTCTTTTCTTTTTTTTTTTTTTTTGTACCAGGTATTGAACTCAGAAGTACTGGATATTGAACTCAGGAGCACTCTACCACTGAGCCACATCCCAAGCCCTGTTTTGTATTTTATTTAGAGACAGGGTCTCACTGAGTTGCTTAGCACCTGCTCTTGCTGAGGCTGACTTTGATCCCTTGGTCCTCCTGTGTCAGTCTCCAGAGTCCCTGGGATTATAGGTCTAAGCTAACATGCCCCACTTTTATTGATTTGTTTAATTTTTGTTTTTTAAGGTTTATATGAACAATATAATTTAATTATTTATCCATTTATTTATTTGGTGGTATGGTGATTGAACCCAGGGCCTTCTACTTGTGAGGTAAGCACTCTAATAATAGAGGTATACCCCCAGGTCACTATTTATTAATTTTTATGTGCTGCTGAGGATCAAGCCCAGTTAGGGCCCCAGCCACTTTCTTCACCAAGGAGATTGGATTCCTATTTCATTCTAATTGATTGAAATTCTATTTTCTGATGATGGAAATATTTATATTGTGTGCGTATAAAATATACTCTTTTGCTGGGTGTGGTGGCACACACCAATAATCGCACCAACTCAAGAGGTTGAGGAGGCAGGATTATTAGAGTACAATGCCAGCCTCAGAACACGAAATGCTACACAAATCAGTAAGTCTTTGTCTCCATCTCAAACACAAAATAGGGTTAGGAAAGTGGCTCAATGGTTAACTGTCCTAAATTCAGTCTCCAATATCAGCCCCTAAAAGAGTATACGGTATGGCCTAAGTGGTTTTGTACTTTTATAATTTGTTTAAGCAAATTTTAAAAAAAAAAAGCTTCAAATGATCTCATGGAACAGTTCACAGACTCTGTTCTGATCTGTTTGTTCTCTTCAACATCCCCCTAAGATGGCAGAATCTCACATGTGTAACAGATATCCATGAGACTCTGTTGTAATTTTCAAGTGTTTTATAATATAGGCACATGCTTTATAAATTCTCATTTAAAAAAAATTAAAAGGAATGTCATCCATATGAGGGCTAGTCTATTTCTACCTATATAGTTGTTTAATCTAGGAGCCTACTGTTTAGGTCACATGACACTCAAATTCCCCCTTTTAAAATAACAAATTAATAATCCAAAACTTTACCCCATAAGGGTGAGGTGTGCTTGTATACTTCCCAGTACCCCCTTTTAAGAGGCTGGCAATGGATGGGATAGTGACCTTTTCCCTGGGCCATTTTCCAGGATTTTTCTTCATTCAGACTCCCCAGGATGAGCATCCATTCCCCACCCACGCTGCTGGAGCTGGCAGGGCACATCTTGCTGAGCGACAAGTCCAGGGCTGTCCTGGATCTGGAGGACTTGCCCATAGAGCTCTTCCCACCACTCTTTGTGGAGGCCTTCAGCAGGGGACACAGTGAGGTCCTGAAGAAAATTGTGCAGGCCTGGCCCTTCACCCGCCTTCCCCTGGGGGCACTGATGAGGAAGCCACAGCTTGAGATGATCCAAGTGGTCCTAGATGGCCTGGACATGCTGTTTGCCCAGCAGAATCACCCCAGGTGAGGGGGACCTAGGTGGACTGGAAGCTAGCACCATGGGTGCCAGAGAAGAAATGGGTATAGGCAGGGAGAAGTGGGTGCTGAATTGTGCACCACAGGCTTCCTGTGCTGCCAGCAAGAAGAGGCCTTGGCCATGCTGAGCCCCATCTGGGAAAGGCTTCCAGATGTGGCAGTGCTTGTGGCAGCTGTGGTGACCCATGAAGGAGGCTATACCTGTCCCTGCCTCAGTCTGTACAAGTGGGGGAACCAGGCTGGATGGGAGCAAAGTGGATGGAGAAAAGTGAGACAGAACGAAGAGGGGGAGCTCGGGGCATCAGCTAAGAGGTTAACAAGGGGCCTCAGTTGTGAGACTCTGCTGTTGTTCCCACAAGGGGTGGAAACTGCAGGTGCTGTATTTGTGAAATGTTCCCCAGAACTTCTGGAAAATGTGGTCTGGAGTCTTGGTTGATGGCTGCTCACCAGAGGAAATAAAAAAGAATCAAACATTGAAACTTGGTCCAGCAATGGCAGCTAAGCCACCCTTCAACGTAGTCATAGACTTGAGCCTCAGAAAAAGACCCCTGGTTGAATTCATGACCCACTTGTTCCTGTGGGTCAGACAGAGAAAGGACAAGCTGCACCTGTGTTGCAATAGGCTGAAGATCGTTGGGAAACCCACCAGCTACACCAGGAAGGTCCTGAGACTACTGCAGCTGGACTCTGTCCAGAAGGTGGAAGTGCATTGTGCCTGGGCGCCCTTCACCTTGGCTGCTTGTGCTCCATTGTTCAGCCAGATGAGGAACCTGAGGAAGCTGTTTGTCTCCAAGATCTATGTGTCTGCCTACACCTCCCAAAAGGAGCAGGAGCAGCTGCTTGCCCAGCTCACCTCGCAGTTCCTCAGGATGGACTGCCTGCAGAAGTTCTGTGCCAATGCTCTCTTCCTCCTTGAGGGCCACCTGGAACAGGTGCTGAGGTGAGTAAGAGGGGGTGAATATCCTGTGCAGACCAGTTACAGGAAATAGGTACCTACTAGCCACTGACACTCTCATGGTTAATAAGGCACTGGAAGGTAAACAACTCATTCTTTAGTTACTATTGGATCCTGAAGCTAGTTCACATAACATGAGTTGGAGCAGACTCCTAAATGAGGGTCCAGAGTCTGGGACGTGCCACCATGCTGGGAATTCAGTTGGGAGGGACAAAAGCTAGAAATGGGATTGATGTTCCCTCCATGGGAGGCCTGTCGAGCAAAGGTGGTGGAAAGCAGGTAGAGAAGAGTGCTTGGAAAGAGGGAAGCCCCAACACTGACACCTGTCAACAGGGAAGCTCTGTGATCTCCAGCTGGGAGCAGAGGACCTGAATCTATACCCACCTGGGGAAGGCTGTTCTGAACTCCAGGTAGTAATCCTGGGTGTAAGGGTCAGGAGCAGGGGTAGAAATCTTGCTGAGGGTATAGGTTGTGTGCCTCTCTGAGGGTTAACCCCAGTGGATATTGTTACATCCTGCCCAAATTCGTTCTTTATACATGACTCCCCATGACCTCCTGTGGCCAGACCTGTAAGTGAGGAGGGAACACAGATATGTGGACTCATCTGTTCACAGGAGATGTGGTGAAAGGCTCACCCTTACATGGGGTGATGTGAATGACCAGATTTTGCAAAAGGCAGCATCTAATTCTGGACCATTTTCGGATCACCAGGGTGACTTTGGTTTTGGGCCAATTTGTCTTCTCCCTCCTTGACATTGCTCCTCAGAACAAACAGTCTGGTTTTTCATTAGGCACCTGAAGATCCCCCGGAGACCCTCTCAATAACCAACTGCCCACTGTCAGATTCTGACTGGAATTACCTTTCCCGATATCCAAACGCCAGACAGCTCAGACACCTGGAACTGAGGGGCATCAAACTGACTGATTTCAGTCTGAAGCCCCTCCAAATCCTGCTGGACAGCACTGCAACCACACTGAACATCCTGGACTTGGCAACTTCTTGTATCACTGATTCCCAGCTCCAAGCCCTCTTGCCTGCCCTGAGCCGCTGCTCCTAGCTAGTGATCTTGAGCATCCATGGGAACCACCTCTCTATGTCAACCCTGAGGGACCTGCTGCTTCACACTGCCAGGCTGAGCCATTTGAGCATAGAGCTGTATTCTGCCCCTCTGGAGAGCTATGATGCCCGTGGTACCATCCACCCAGGGAGATGTTCCCAACTCTGTGCTGAGCTGATAGCAATAGTGAGGAATTTTAGGCAGCCAAACATCCTTGTGTTCTGTACTGTCCCCTGTTGTCATTGTGGCTCCAAGTTCCTGTATAACCAGGGCCTCATTCACTGCTCCTGTCCAACAGCTGCCAAGTTGAGTGTGTTTCAAAAGTGTACTTCTAGGCAATTGTATATATAACCAGGATGTAAGGTCACATTAGAGGAATCACAGAGCCCACCATTTCAGGCATTGCCTAAAGAGTGGATGGGAAAAGGAAAGTACAGCAGGTGGCTCAATTGAAGGAAAGCCCCCCTAGGATAGGACCTTCAGGACATGTGTCTCTATAGAGACATACATAGGGACCTGAATTTTTAGAATGGGATTCAGGCTTGATGGGCACAGAAAGATGCTACTTTCTTTCATGGCTGGTCCATAAATCATCATAAAAGGAACAGAATCTCAAGGTTAGTCTTCTGTCATCCTCTGCACTCGATTTTCCTGGTTTTCTAATAAAACCTTGGAATTCTCCAGGTGCTGAGGAAGAAAGAAGGCATGGGGTACTTGGTGAACAATGAGGTTTATCCCCATGAAGTAAAGGTATCAAACTGAAATCTGGTTATGATGTGTGGCTACTCTGTGGCTTAACACATGCATGTTCACACAGGTGGATTGGAACATTCTATGTAGGCATTGAACATGAGCCATTGAAAAAAAACCTCTTCTCAGTGGACCTCAGTGCCACCCAGACATTCAATGCTGGTTCTTCCTCATGGGTCTCCATTTAGACCCGGAAAACTCAGGTTTTGGTCTCTGGGTGTGCTGGGCATGGGCATCTGTGCATAAAAAAGGCCCCATTGTCCCACTCCCAGTGCTGCAGGAGGTGTCCATGTTGCACATTGATCAGAGCCTCTGGGCCTCACCAAACCTTACCTGTCTTCCACCTAGGTAGTCTGTCCACAGTTAAACCTTTGGTGCCCATTGAAGTTACCCAAATTTGATTTCAGCAAAATATAGAATCATATATGTAGATAACACTTGTAAATATTTCAAAATTAAACTGAATCAATTACAAGCTCTGGTGGTGGGGGGGCGCGTTTAGCACATAACTGAGAGATCTTCCTCTAACAATTCCCTCCACTAAGAACTTGGCTGATGAGGTTGTGCAGTGACCTTAGCCTTTGTTTCTCATCCAAGAATGAGAACAATGTCCACCCAGTCTTCATTTGAGGTATTCTAAAGCTGCCTGTGGACATGTTTTTATTATGGCTTGAATAATTCTCCACACATAGTGAACTGGAACACACTTCGATGTGTAAGCAGACTGCAGCTCACTTTTGGAACTGGTATCAGAGTCTGGGCAAAGGACAGCTGTCCTCTCTGTCACCCACAGAGTGATCTTTGTGCCTTGCTCCCTCTTTGTGGCACTTTTTTTTCTCCAGCTCTAAGTCTAGCTTGCACATGTGAGGCAGGTGGAAGGTTCTGAATGGCATTCATTTTGTTGGATTCAAGGATCAAATAAAGTCAAGGAAAATCTGCATAATGAGATCTGTCATCATGTGTTCTTTTAAGAGTTATCAAAGCTAAAAAGGGACTTGAAGATACTCTGGTGCTTTGGGACCCCTTGAACACTGGAAAGATTGTGAGGGCACTTTGTTTTCTCAGATGTCTGCGGATAAAGCACTCACCTCCCTTTGAGTTTCTCATCTTTTGACTCTAGGTTAATTTGTGCTGTGAGAGAGCACACAAGTGTAGGATGTCATAACAAACACGACCTGGTTTGTAAGGGTGGCCGGGTCAAGAAGTGGGGACTGGGTTTCACTCCTTGGCCACTGAAAGATGCACAGTCCTTTCTACACCTGTATCCAAAGACTCTACAGCCCCTTCTGGAACACTGGCCAATTTACCTCCATAATTTAGTAAACCCAGAAAACATGCTATTCTAGAGAAATGAGTTAACTTCATCAAAGCTAACTCAGGGAGCTGGGCACATTTCTCTGTGGTGGAGCACTTGCTAGCATGTGGAAGGGCCTGGGTTCCATCCAAGGCATCACAGAGATAAGTAAACAAATAAATAAATCCAAAAATGATGTGACCACATTGGGAAGGTTTAATTGAAATAGAGCTGTCTATCTGTTAGAAACATTCAAAAAGAAAGAACCACAACCCACATGAAAACAATGGAATGCATTCTTTAATTGGTCTGGACAGGTGGGTCAAATTGATGTCCTGAAAGATTCTCTTCCACAAACAATTGGAAAAGCTGGCTTGGTGGTGCTCAGCTGTAGTTCCAACAGCTCAGAATTTGAGGCAGGACAATGGTGAGTTCAAAGTCAGCCTCAGCATCTTAGAGAGGTTGTAAGCAAGTTTGTGAGACCCTGTGTTAAAAACGTACCTTTGGATGGGGCTCACTGGTGTGGCGCCCTTGGGTTCACTGTCTGATCCCCAAAACAATAACAATCAAGTATGAAAAGCCAGTTGCAGTGGCACATGCCTGGGATCCCAGGTACTCTAGATGCTTTATTATTTTATTCCTTCTCCCAAATTTACTAACTGGGTCATGACCCATCCTTATTTTTTTCAGTCTCTTGAGATGCAATATTGGGCCATTGATTCGAGATCTATTTTCCTCATGAAGCTGTTTCTTGCTGAGGACTTCCCAGTTAGAATTGTTTTTGCTGTATCCCCAGGTTTGAATATCTTGTGTGGCACTTTTCATTGGTCTGCAGGCATTTTACACTTTCTTTTTTATTTTTATTTATTTTTCTTATTTCTTACATACATAACAATGTTTTGATTTCTTCAATGACCCATTGGTTGTTGGGGAAAATGCTGAAGAATTCCCATGCATTGTAACTGTCCAGGTGTTCCCCCTGCTATGGATTCAATTCTTATTAAATTTATGGAGATTTATTGAGAATACATAAAGAATATGCTGTGTGCTTTAGAGAAGGATGTTTGCTCTGCAGTAGTTTGGTGGGATGGTCTTTAAATGTCTACACTGTGCAGACATGATCTGTCCAGTGCTGAAAAAAGTAGTTGACTGGGCTGGGTATGTGGCTAAAGCAGTAGTGTGCTAGCCTGGCATGTTTGGGGTCCGGATTCCATCCTCAGCACCACATACAAACAAAGACTGTGTCCACCAAAAAAACTAAATAATAAATATAATCACTCTCTCTCTCTCTCTCTCTCTCTCTCTCTCTCTCTCTCTCTCTCAAAAAAGGGGGGATTTGAAGCCCCCACTGTTTTTAGTGTGTTGTAGTCAACTTCTTCTTTTACATTCCAGTAATATCAGTTTTGCATATGTGGGAGCTCGGGTGTCGGGCACATATGTGTGTACAATTTCTGTCTCATGTTGCTGAATTGACCCCTTTATCATGGTGTGATCACCTTGTCTCTTTTTATTGTATTTTAATCTGTAGTGTATTTTATCTGACAGGAGTCTAGCCATTCCTGCTCTAGGTTGGTTTTCTTCCTGTGAAATATCTTTTCCATTCCTTCACTGTCACTCTGTGTGTGTCCTGAGGTGAAATGACTTTCTTGTAGATAGCAGGCGACTGAGTCCATTAAAAGAAGAAAATCCATTCAGTCATCTTAAAAAAGGGGAGTTTATTCCATTTACATTCAAGGTTTTCGATTGAAAGATACAGAATTATTTCTGACTGGTCTTATTTGTTTTTAGTTTCTTTTTCAGATTTCTCTTTAGATCTTTTTCTCTGTTTTCCTCCTTTACTCTCTAGTCTGTTTCTGTGGGTTAGTGTTTTCTTCTGGGATAAATTTGGATTTCCTTCTTTGTCATTTGTGAACATGCTGTCATTTTTGTTTTTTGTCTGGGCTTCCTCTGGGATTTAGAAAATTTTTACAGTTCCCAAAGATCGTTTTAAGCTGAACAGAACCTCTGTATGCTCTTATTCCAGTACTCTCTTTAAAAAAAATCAAGTAAAAATATAACAACCTATTCCTCTTATAGGCAGAATAACAGCCTTTAAAATAACGCACCCCAAAATTTTATTCAGCAACAGAACAAGGTACCCAAGTCACTTTTTTTTTCTCCTCCTTTTTCACCCCTTTGGTACCAGGAGAAGAACTCAAGAACACTAAACCACTGAGCCACAGTTCTAGCATTTTTTTTTAAATTCAGTAAATACAGAGTAGTGGGGAATTGCTCCTCCAGGCAGGAGGCCCCTCCCACATGGGTGTCAGAGGGAGATCTTATACCACTGTAGCAGTGGTAGAGGGTATTTTCTCCTTCAGGTGTGTGACCCCTCCCACCTGGATGGCTGGGGAGTTCCTATACCACTGCAGGTGGGGTAGAGGGAACTCTCCCCTCATGATGGGAGACCCCTTTTATCTGGGTGTCCTGGGTAGAGGGGACTTGCAGCTCCCGGAAAGAGACCGTTCCACCTGGGTGTCAGGGAGAGTTCTTTTACTGCTTCAGGCAGGGTAGAGCGGACGTGTGCTTCCAGACGGAAGACCTCTCCCACCTGGGTGTCTTGGTGAGCTCCTATACCTCTGCAGCCAGGGTAGAGAGAACTGGCCCCTCCAATCCGGAGGCCCCTCCCACCTGGTTGTTCAGGGGAACTTGATTACTTCAGCATCCTGGGAAGAGGAGACTCACTCCTACAGGATGGATCCCCACCGAGCTGGCTGTCAGAGGGAGCTCCAAGACTGTGACAGCAAGGGAAGTGGGAACATGCCCCTGCAGGCAGAAGACCCCTCCCACCTGTGTGTACTAGAAGCTCTTATATGGCAAAAGGCAAAGTAGAGGCGACTCACACTTCCAGGCGGGATACCTCTCCCACCTGGGTGTCAGGAAAGCTTGTATACTGCAAAAGCCAGGGTAGAGGGGA